TTGTGGGCACATCTTATGTCTTGAGTAAGGATGTAGTTCCCTGGAAGGTTTGAAGTTCCTGACCTGGAGGCTCATTACGGAATTGAGAGAAATTCTAGCAGGATTTTACTTCCTGTGAGCACAAAGCGCTAGTAGCCTGGACAGAGACTACGTTCCACGCTTCTTCAGCGGCGTCCTGCTCGCCTGAGAGCTGAGGGGCACCACAGAAGCTTCTGTCTGCTCACTGCTCCTCTGTGTTTCCTTTCAAGGAATGCTCGTCCAATCTAACAGAGCTGTTCAGAGAGGCCTGTTTCACTGGCGTTTTTGGAGGCGACGTCAATCCGGAGTTTGACCACCTGTGCTCTGTGCAGGAGACCCCCGGGGCCCCTGGCTGGTTCCCGTTCCTGTGTGTGCAGTCCTCGCCGGCCAACTCGCCCTTCCTGGGCTACTTCTACCACGGCTCCGTGTACGTGTCCCGACGCGGCCCACAGGTGCCTACGGCCTCTCGCGGGCCCAGGCCTGACCGCCTCCATTCGAGATTTGGTTCTAGATTTCCGTTAGCAAGTTTATTTTGCGTTAAATATTTGAAAGAATTGGGCCTCACTGAAGAGAAATTGTTGATACTGCAGTTAATAGTGATCATCTGGGTTTGGGGAAGGAGTGCTGGGCTCCTGGGGTCTTGATTTTCTTTCTTGTACTTTCCCCTGATGTTGAAATTTTACAACTTTCTTCTTCTTCTTATTGAAGTGGAATTCCTGTAACATAAAATTAACCTCTAACCACTTTCAAGTGTATACCTCTGTGGCTTTTAGTCCACCTATTATTTTTGTAATTAAAAAGGTAAAACAAAAATTAAAAGAATTGTCTTTAGGGGCGCCTGGGTGGCTCAGTCGGTTAAGCGGCTGCCTTCGGCTCAGGTCATGATCCTGGAGTCCTGGGATCGAGTCCTGCATCGGGCTCCCTGCTCGGCGGAGAGCCTGCTTCTCTCTCTCTGCCTGCCTCTCTGCTTACTTGTGCTATCTCTCTGTCAAATAAATAAAATAAAATCTTTAAAAAAAAGAAGAAGAATTGTTTTTAGCAGATAATAGCTGCGAGTTAGTGGTAATCCTTCGCATTGATTTACAGTTCCCCTGGGCAGCACTCTTCCTTTGAGGTGAACCTGCATACTGACCTAAGAGACTTTTCAGACTTCGGTTATAAGCAAGGAGATCCGATCATGACTGTAGACAAGGCATATTTTACCATTCCGCAGGTAAGAATTTCAATTTTAAGATGCTAGGGGCCTTTGACATTTTTTTCCCATCCTGTTGTTAATTGAATTTCTGCACTTAAAAAGTCTCATCCTAAGTTCCTTATTTTTCTCCTGTGGAATTTCCAGGCACTCAACTCTTTATGGTCTGTGGATTTTATTTTAAACAGCCTCTCTTAAATTAGCCACTGATTTTGCTAAATCTCAGAGTGAACATAACAACCAAAAGACATTCTATCAATTTCCATAGACATAACTACGATTCTGCACTTCTGTTAGTTTAACAGCTGATTTCTAGTAAGCTATAAGTATATAGTTTAATATAATATTCCAGAACTTTGAAAATTATCTCAAGGCTGTGGAGTTTTATGTGATCTTCATTTTTTTTTTTTAAGTCCAAAATCATATATCTGTGGGAAGAAAACATGGGAGTCTAAACCATCTCTCTTCACTGTTCTAGGACTCCATTTTTATGGTTTTAACAAGAATCTGGTTGTCCTGAGGGAGAGAAAATTAAGTTGAATATAATCATGTTTCTGCAAAGTAAATGGAGCAGGGAGTTTTCTTTGTTTTTGTTAAATACGTCTCCTCAACCAGCGGCTTCCAGACTTTGATTAGCAAATGAACTACATAGTCTATTTATGGGTCATCTAGTCAGTGAATTCGTTCTTGAAACTAACCCAGCAGGAGGAGCAGGCTGCAGAAAGCAAATCTGTATGGGACGCTGACCTATATTTTCTGACTTGAAAAGAGGTCATAGCCCTGTTGGGATTTCCCCTTACCCTCAGGTGTCCCTGGCTGGGCAGTGCGCGCAGGACGCGCCAGTGGCATTCCTTCAGAATTTTGATGTTCGCTGCACTACTAATTTGGAAGTGTACCGAGAGCAAGATGGTATTATCAATGCGAAGATCAAGAATGGTGCGGTAGGAGGTATGGTACATTGGTTTGAGAAGAGAACGTGGGGCTCCTGGGTGGCTCATTCGGTGAAGAAACTGACTCTTGATTTCGGCTCAGGTCATGACCCCAGGGTCGTGGGATGGAGCCCTGCGTTGTTGTTGGGCTCTGCACTCAGCGGGGAGTCTGCTATCTCAGCCTCTCTCTCTGCCTTTGCCCCTCCCCATGTGTGCTCTCTCTCTCTCAAATGAATAAGAAATCTTAAAAAGAAAAAAAAAAAAAGAAAGGAATACAGACCTGAATGTCTACATAAACTGGGATCTCATGAGGATATAAATCACTTCTACTGGATTAACTTAAAATATTTGAACTGCCAATTGAGGAAGATGTTTTCTTCAGAAAAAGTCCAGTTCCATAGGGCAGCATGTTGCATGTTAGTTCTTCTTTACAAACGGAGGTAAAATTCACATAACATAAAATTAACTATGTTCAAGTGGACAGTTCAGTGACATTTAGTACCTTCACAGTAACTACCTGTGTAACTACCCCCTCTGTTTAGTTCCAGAACATTTTCCTTCCCCTAAAGGAGACCCTATACCCTGACCCCTATACCCTGACCGCTCACCCCCTTTCTGTCTCTATGGATTTGCTTTGTTCTGGGCTTTCCATATAAGAGGAATCCTATAATATATGGTCTTTGTGTCTGGCTTCTTTCACTTAGCATCATGTTTGCAAAGTTCATCCACGCCGTGGCATGGACCAGAACTCCGCTCCTTTTTGTGGCTGGGTCCTAGTCCATCCTATGAATAATTGTGCCACATATGTCATCCATTCATCCTTTGATGGGCATTTGGGTTGTTCCCGCATTTGGCAGCCGTGATCGTGCTGCTGTGAACGCTGGTGTGCACGTGTCTGTGTGGGCACACGTTTGCGTCTCTCTCTGCTGTCCACCCAGCAGTGGGGTTGCCAAGTCGCATGGTGATTTGACTTTCTGAGGGAGCACCAGACTGCTTCTAGAGCGAGCGCACCATCTTCCGTTCCCACTGGCAGTGGACCGCATGTTTGTTCCTATGGGAGAGTAGCTCTCCGGATCTCTGTCACTGACTGGAATCTCCTCCTCAGCCATTACCAGATGCCAAGGACAGTGGGATTCCCATGGCTGGCATTTGGGGAGTGGGAGAGAGGTCGGTAGCTGGCACACAGGCTGGGCGCAGTTACCATAGTTGCCTGATAAGCTTTCCCTTGAATAAGTAAACACGATCGTGTTGGGCTGTGTCGTCCTCGGGAGGCCAACTTCTGTATCTTTTCAGGCATCGTTACACCAAAAGTAACCTATGAGGAAGCAGCCGACCCAGACAAATTCATCACCAGGACAGGTATTTGAATTAACGCTTTCATATCACCTCTACAGAAATATGTAGGTCATTTCTTACGAATAATATGTAGTTATTTTTAGAGGGGGGAGGAAGATAGATTTTTATGAAGAATTTAAGGAGGTTCACAACACTTAGAGTTTTGTCTGCTCCACATTTGGTTTGTTCCTTATTCCGTCTTGCCTTGCTTCAGAGTGGTACCTGCGCCCTGGAGTCAATCCTCACAGCCCTGAGTTCTGTGGGCTCCAGGGTCCCTGCTAGTTTTCAGGGCCTGTGGACCTTTTCTGAAATGTTGTTCAGGGAGCCAGCATGGAGGCCTCTTGCTCTCTTTTCTCCTTCTTCTTCTTCTTTTTTTAAATAACTAAACTTTGCAGTTTTGATGCAGCCAAACAGGTTATTCAGAGTTTGGCTAATAGTACCAGGACTTTTGTTGTGCATGAAAGATATTTGTATTTCCTTACAGTGTGTTAAAATTCTCAAATGTATTCATTCATCAGATCTTAGCAAAGTACCTACAACATAGTAGTGAGCTAGACAGCAGGCCTCTGCTCCTATGGGGCTATGGGGCCGACATTCTGTAGTCCTTCATCTTTGACAAACATTTGACCGAGGCTGTGCTGTGTATCGAGCTATGAGCCTCATTCTGGGGGTATGGAAATGGAAGGAAAGGGCAGACTTCACCCAGGACATTGTGATGCTCTAGAGGAGGGGGCCAGTGCTGACTTGGTGGGGCCAATAATAGACTTGAATCCAAGGAGGGTTGTTAATTTATGAAAGTATTTTTTATTTGCAGAAACACTTTTAAGCAATGAATCAGCCTCCAGAAACGTAAATGTGGAAGAACATTATATTTTCAGATGGAATAATAATACAATCAGCGAAATAAATGTCACAATTATTAGAGCAAAAATTAATGCCCACCAGAAAGGTAACTTTGTTGAGGGCAGTGAGAATGTTTTCAGCTTAAAACATTTTTTTTTTCTTTCTTTACGATTCTCATAATTATTACACGTAAAACTAAGTCAGACTTGTTTCTTATTTGTATTTGTGATTTAATACAAAACATTTTTTTTCTTTTGCATGTCAAGATGTAATTATAAGGTAAAGAAAATAACACTATGGGGGATAATTTCTTTTCCTAGTGAAATGGTGCACATTATATTTTTATTTTGTTTTATTTCTAGGGAGCATGACACAGAGATTTACAGTAAAATTTTTAAGCTATAATAGTGGTGATGAAAAGGAATTTTCTGGGAATCCAGGTAAGACAGTGTATGTCAATTGCTGATCCTACAAACATATTTTAATTCAGTACTCTTGCGCTACAGTGATTGTAACTCACTCCAATTTTAGTTTGTGACTCTAACCTTTCTCTTTCTCTTTTGTGACACTGTATTCTTTTTCTGGTAACAACTTTTTTTTTTTTTTTTTTTTACCAGACATGTTGTAAGTGTAGTTGTAAATGCAAAACATTCTTTCTCTTTAGCTACTAGTCTTTTGAAAAAAAGATAATGCCGAATAATGTTGGCAAAATTAGCTTTTTTTTTTAAGAGATTTTATTTATTTATTTGAGAGAGAGAATGAGAGAGAGAGAGAGAGAGAGAGAGCATATGAGACGGGGGAGGGTCAGAGGGAGAAGCAGACTCGCTGCTGAGCAGGGAGCCTGATGTGGGACTCGATCCTGGGACTCCAGGATCATGACCTGAGCCGAAGGCAGTTGCTTAACCAACTGAGCCACCCAGGCACCCCAAATTAGCTTTTATAGAACTAAGAAGCTATAGATGATGGGTTCCTAACCTGGGGTTCTGTGGAGAGACTTCACAGGGACTGTGAACTTCCGGTCATGTTGTGCATTTTGTGATTATGTACAAATATAGCATCACCTGATTTGTTGTGTATTTGTTTGCTTCTTTAATTCACCATTGCCTCCTCAGCACCTGGAACAGTAGGGAGGACTGCACGTCCAAAATGCCAGCTGCTAGCCATGCAATGTGGCCAGTGGCATGTGTGGAAATGGTAGTATTTGGATATATTGAGTTGAATAAAACATATTTTTCAAATTAACTTCATCTACTTTTTCTCTCTTTTTTTAATGGGGCTACCAGAAAAAAAATTTTAAATGTCTAAAAAATTCTAAAAATGTGTCATATTTTAAAATCACATATGTGGTTTGCATTATATTTCTGTTGGGCAAAACTGACTTGGACCATAGTAGGTGTCCAGTAAATATATGTTGGATAAACTATCATTGTTTTTTAAAAACTTGTCCCTTCCTTTTACTACTCTTAACTAGGCAGTAAGTAACCATGAACGAACAACTTTTTAAAGTTAAAATAACTTTTTGGTTTGCGTGATTTTCAATATTTGTGTATGTTGATTTAATAATGCATGTTCCATTTTACCTATATATATATTTTTTCTTTTAAATGAAATTTTAGTGTACTTGTTAATGTGGAATTTTGGATTTTATGGTTGGATTTCAAAGCAGGCTCCTGGAATTTAAGGGTTTTCATTTCATTATTTAATTTCACAGGATTTCTGAGAAACACCATCAGAATATGTGAAAAATGTTGACGCTCTTGTCAAAAAAGAATAAATTGATTATGAGCCAGAACCAGTCAGTCCGTGAGATAGTTTGTGTATATACGGCCATCCATTCTCTAGCACTTTCCAAGGCAGGAAGGGTTTTAGGAGGAGTACACTACATGGGCCCGATTCTCAAGGAATTAATTCTTTTACTTGGAAAGACGGCACCAGGTCATAGAAACAACAGAGAACAATACAAGATAATTAATAAATGTGTGCTAGTCTCATGGACGGGCATTCTAGAACATCAGAGAAGTGGAATGTTGACCGTTCACCTACACTTCCCACCATTAAGGACCTGTGTGAAGTCTCTAGTTTGTGCAGGTTCTGATCTCAGTGCTGGAAGAAAAGCAGAGTGAGTCACAGTTCTGCCCTCGGCAAGTTTTCTATTCTGGGCTGTGTGGAGGAGATTGTACCTTGGAAAGCAGATAGCGCGGGCTGGGAACAGGAATAACCTGGGGTGGGGGCCAGGGAGGCAGCAAGGAACGGGAGGTGGGGGTGGGCAGGGATGAACCCTGGTTCAATTCCGGCTGGTTCAGGAATGCTGAGAAGTAACGTGGGAAACACAAGCACTAGGCGTGAACCCTGATTGCATCTCGGTTTGTACAAATGGCTCTAAAACATGTTTTTTGGGGACATGTGGAGATAGAGGTATGAACTGGATATACTTTGATTATTAGGAATTACTCATTTTCTCAGGAGAAATACTGGTATCATGGTTATGTAGAAGGATATCCTTCATTTCAGGAGTTGTATGTTAGAGCTTTTAGAGGTGAAGTGTCAAGTCTACAACTTATTTTCAAAAGGTCTCGCCCAAAATAAATATGTATGTATGTGCTTATGTAATACAGAGAAGACCAATCTGGCTGGAAATTCACGGCTGTTGATTTTGGGTGGTGTTCCTTTCAACCCTTGTGTACGTGTGAACATTTTCATAGTAAAAAAGTGGAAGCAGTAAGGCGCAGGCCAATAGGAGAGAACGGGAATAGGACCTGAATCGTCCCGGGGTGGGACTGATTTACCAGAGTGTCCCATCGAAAGGTTACTTTGGTGTAAGTCTCCTTTCAAAGCGCCTGGGACCAGTGGTAGTGATCACTCAGCAGTACTTAGTAACTGGCCTGCTTGGCGTTTGATTCCCCGGTGTGAGGGCCCTGGACGGACTCTTGCCTGCTCGTGCCTTTTCGGATTTTAATTTCAAAATTGATTTTAAAAAGTCGCACAGATATCTTTGTTAAAAAAAAAGCAAAAGAAGAGGAAAGAAGATGGTTTGTCTCAAGCGTATTCTGACAAAGCTTTGCCTGTGTGTTTCCTTTCTTTGCATATTCTTCTTTTATACTACTTGATGAGGAGGGGTTGCTATGTTAGGTTAACTTTAGCTACTTCTCATTATTGTGTTTGTCTAGGTTACCAACTTGGCAAGCCTGTTCGAGCTCTAAATCCCAACAGGTTGAATGAGACGACTTTACACCTTTGGCAATCGGGTAATCTGGTTTGGTGATATGATTCGCTCTTTGATAAACTAGAATTGGAAATGCTGCCTTATTTTGAATCTAATCAAGTAGTTAATCACTTTGAATTCTGGTTGGTTTATTTAGCCGGGGTGGGGGGAGAGTGGAGGAGATCATGCTTCCGCAACTTTCTTTGGTTTGGTTTTAAATTTAACATTATTTGCTCCTGAAGTGCTGGTTATTTGTAAGAGAGATTTAAACATGGGGTTGGCTGGGCGCCTGGGTGGCTCGGTCCAGTGCCAACTCTAGATTTCAGCTATGATCTCAAGGTCATATCTCAGGGTCATGAGTTGGAGCCCTGAGTCCAGCTCCGTGACTGGGGGGAGTCTGCTGGAGATTCTCTCTCCCTCTGCCCCTCCTCCTGCTCACGCTGGTGTGCTTTCTCTCTCTCTCCAATAAACAAAATCTTTAAATACGGGACTGGCTGGAGAGAGTCTCTTGTCATCGTTGCTTGTAGCCCAGGATGGTGCTAATTGGAAATTCGACCATAACTTTGTTCCAAACAATGGAAAATCTTTGCCTTGGTGGTGAGTGCCTGCATCTGCCAGAAGGCATTAACTTCCATGTTCAGAATAAACCATTGATCCTGGGCCAGGTATTCTGATATAGAAAGGCGCCTCTGTTCAGCTTTGAAAGGATTAGAGTAACAATGACCTCAGTTCTTGAGAAAATTGGAAACTTTATTTCTACTGATTGTTTTCTGTCTGTTTTCCAAGAAAAACTTTGAAGTAAATCTTTACTTTCATTTAGCAAAAATGGTAAGAGGATAATCTTTTTATTTTCTAGCTGGAAGGGGTTTGTGTGCATCGGCAACTTTCAAACCCATTTTATTTGGAGAAAATGCACTATCTGGATGTCTTTTAGAAGTTGCGATCCATGAAAACTGTACTCAGCTCAGGTGAGCGTATCATTGGCGAATCTGCCTGTGTTTTGAGTGGTTTGCTTAAAATGAATTCACCCCATGAAAACTAAAGACAACATGAATGTGAAAAATTGCAGTCTGCATAACACACTTGTGTAAAGTGGTAGTGGAAAAAATTACAGTTTCTTTAGAACTGATTCAGGGGCGCCTGGCTGGCTCAGTCAGTTAAGCGTCCGACTAATGATCTCAGCTCAGGTCTTGATCTCAGTGTTGTGAGTTTGAGCCCAGTGTTGGGCTCTATATTGGGTGTGGAGCCTACTTAAAAAAAAAAAAAAGAATTGAATCAGACATTGATAGAAGGGAAAATAGAGTTCTTTCTTGGGACTAGAGCCCTTTCATCCATATTTATGCAGTTAACTCTGCTAAAGTCTGTTAATCGTTGGAACCCAATACTCCTAGAAGCATAAAAAGGACAGGAGGCAGATATGATTGGTGTGAATAACACTGAAAGAATACATAAGCCTTGGGGCGCCTGGGTGGCTCAGTCGGTTAAGCATCTGCTTTGGCTCAGGTCATGATCTCAGGGTCCTAGAATCGAGTCCTGTGTTGGGCTCCCTGCTCAGTGGGGAGTCTGCTTCTCCCTCTGCTGCTCCCCCTGCTTGTGCTCTTGTTCTTTCTCTCTCAAATAAATAAATATAATCTTAAAAAAAAAATACATAAGCCTTGTTACATGGTGTATAAAGAACTTTGCACTTAATTGTCTGGGTGGCATTTGGAAGGTGTGTTTATGGATATGCATATACATTCTTTTATTTTTAAATTGAGGTGAAATTCATGTAAGATAATTAATCATTTTAAAGTAAATAGTTCGGTGACATTTAGTGCATTCATGATGTTATACAATGACTACCCCTATTTAGTTCCAAAACATTTTCATCTCTGCAGAAGAAAACCTGTACCCATTAACTATCCCTCCCCATTCCCCCCTCCCCCAGCCCCTGGCAACCACCGATCTGTGTTCTGTCTCTAGGGATTGACCTATTCTGGACATTTCATATAAATGGAACCCTACCATAGGTGACTTTTTGTGTCTGGCTTCTTCCACTCAGCTTAGTGTTTTCGAGGGTTATGCACACTGTCGCAGGTGTCAGTGCTTTGCTCCCTTGTGTGGCCAACTCCTGTTCCACTGTACGGCTCTACCGCATCTTGTTTATCTGTCCATCCATTAACGGACGTTTGAGTTGTTTCCAGCTTGGGCTGTTGAACAACGCTGCCATGAACGTTCATGTGCCAGTTTTGGTTTGAGTCCCTGCTTTCAGTGATTTTGGGCATATGCCCAGGAGTGGAATTGCTGGGTTATATAGTAATTAGATGTTTACTTTTTTGAGGAACGACCACATCATTTTCAGTGGCTGCACCATTTTATATTCCTACCAGGAATGTGAGACAGTTCCAATTTGTCCACATCCTCCCAACACTGGTTAGTTTCTGTTGTTTTGATAGTTGCCGTCCCAGTAGGTGTGAAGTGGTATCTTGTTGTGGTTTTTAATTGCATCCATTCTTACACCCATTTCATCTATAACACATCCTGGGTAGCATGGTTCTTTGGGGAGCTGAGAAAAGATGGGGAGGCACTAAGCCGGGAAGTAGACTGTAGGTGTAAGTTACTAGCAGAACTCTTGGTCGTGGGGAATAAGGCTGGAATCTGCAGCGTCTCTCCCCTGAAGTTTATAAGATTTGTACCTGCCAATGACATCACCAGAAAGGAGGGATGCTAAGTTTCAGGGTTTTTTTTGTTTTTGTTTAAGAGAGGGAGAAGGAGAGAGAGAATCCCATGCAGGCTGCACACCTAGTGTGGGGCACAGCGCAGGGCTCGATCTCACGACCCTGAGATCACGACCTGAGCCAAAATCAAGAGTCAGATGCTCAACCGACTGAGCCACCCAGAAGCCCGCTAAGTTCTGATTTTTGATCTTCACTTAATCTTCTGGCTCAAAATTCTAGCTAAAATATTTAGGTTCCTTTTGCTCTCAGATCCCTCTGGCCTGTAAATTTATCCTGGTAACTTGGAATGTGATCTACGCACCTTCCAAGTTTTATAACACTCAATGGAGCCTGTAAACTACATGATACCAACATAAATTACTAATATTTAAAATCCAAAGTAAACGATTGCTTCTGTATGTCTTACCCTGGCAGCTCAGGTCCATCCTGGACGGGCAGATGCCCAGCCAGCTTTTAATGCCACTCTCTCTGGCAGATTTTAGTTAGGCTCCCTAACTAAAGGGAGTTAGTTTAAGAGTTAGCAACTAGCTAACTAGTTGCCAAGTTAGTCCTAGGCAAGCACAACCTGGAAAGGACTTCAGGATGAGAGCCACTGGCCATGTGCTGAGAAATGTCTTACTCTCTTGCAGGGAGAATGCTGTCAAGCGACTTGACTCATTAATACAAGCAACTCATGTTGCAATGAGAGGCAACTCTGATTACAACCATCCTAGTGACGACTGGCTTGAAATAATCCGTAAGTCACAGCTGCGGACGTGTGCGCGTGTAACTTGCTGCTAGGAGTGCACGGCACTGGCCGTGCGTGGGAGCCCACGGGATGGGTCTTCCTCCTTCGCTGTGGCTCAACTGACGTTTGTTTAGAGGTTAGCTCTCTGGGCAGCAGGCTCTTCACATCCTTTACCTCTTCTTCATGATGCCTTTGTGGGTTTTTTGTGCTTTTTTTTTTTTTTTTTTAAGAGGAAATCCACATGAGGTTCAGATTGCCCAGTTGTTTTATGAGCTAACAGCCTTTGTAAAAGGAGGTTTAAATGAAGACTGAAGATTTTCAGTGCATTTCAGTTTGCTTTGCTGTTTTCGTTTGCCAGGAATATAGGCAATCGAGACCGGACTTTGTAATTTATAAAAGCAATGTTGTTAATTTAAAATAAGGTGATTGAAAAGATGATGCTGAGTGAAAGAAGCCAGACAGACATGACCCCGAACTGTACGGTGCCATGTGTACAAAAGGCCCAGATGGGGCAGATCTGTCACCACAGAGAGCAGACGGGTGGTTGCCAGGGGCTGGCGCAGGTGGGAGCAAGTGAGGAGTGACCGCTGATGGATACAGGGTTTCTTTCTGGGGCAGCAAAAATGGAATTTGGTGATGGCTGCGTAGCTCTGAATATACTAAAAACCACTGAATTGTACACTTTAACTGGGTGAATTGTATGGTGTGTGAATTGTCTCTCAGGACAGCGGTTATAGCAGAAAGAAGTGCAGGGGTAGCAGATAAGGGTAGCAGGCCCCACCCAGGCCAGGTAGAAAGGCTGGAGGTCTGGGCCTTTGGGCGGAGGCATTTGCAGCGTCGGGCTGGCAGAGGATCGAGCGCGAGGAGGTAGGGTGCGCGTGGCCCGGATAGTAGCCATGAGCCATACTTCCTTGCCACAGCAGGCCTGGGGTCACCTTCCAATCTAAAACGTCCGTCTGGCCGCCACTGAGCTGCCGCTCACTCAGCTCGTCAGGGCAAAGCTCAAGGGCTCAGTGGGTCGTGGTGGAGCTGGAACCCAGACCCAGGCTTCCAGCCTCTTTGCTGGCTCCCCGGCTGGCAAGTAAGGGGAGTCTTGACTGTGGAAATGTGCCAACAGGAGAGCTTCTGCTAGGGCTCTGATTAATGGCATTGTCTTTTGTGGCCAGAAAGAGAGAATTGGCTCGACAGCATCTGCTGTCCTAAGTCCCCTCCTGTCACTGAGGATCCTGCTGTGCCCCTCCCTTCTGCCCGGCTGGTGGTAAGCAGCTTTTTGGATCCTGCTTTCCGTACCACCTCTGGTCACTTCCGCTCAGCAGCCTGGAATTCACACAGAGGACCATCCAGACACGTGCCTGTGCTCTCCTCACCCCTTGTGATTTGGTTTGGATCATTACGACACCCAGGTCCCCTGCCCTCTTGGGGCGGTGAGGGATCATGTAATACGTCTGTGGGCCGGAAGCACCCCATATCACTCTCTGACTTTGGGAGGGGTCCTGGGGGCCATGGGGCTCTCAGGCTGTGATTCACCGATCCTCTTGTGCCCCGCGCTCAAGTCACTAGGCCCAGAGTTAGATCCTCATTTGGAGACAGAAACCAGAGGTTGGGGCTTGTCAACCCCTGGGCTTTGCCACAAGGCCAGCTGGATGGGCTGTGGCATGCTCGACGGATGGAGGGAAGGAGTCAGTAAAGTACCTGAGAAGTAGAAAGAATGGGAGGTTTCAAGACGGAGAACCCAAGGTGGTTATGTAGGAAGTCTGAGGTGATGACATCTTGCTGCCTTTGAGGTGAAAGCACTTGGCTTCAATGTTGTCTCTAAGCCAAAATCAACCCTGATCCTGGTTGATAAACAGAAGAGATGTCGAACGTGTGCATCGAGGAGGAGGAAGTTGGAAGTCATAAGCTGTCACCAACTTTCAAGTCCCTCCAGTGTCCCCTCACAACTTGCCACCCGCCTCCTGTCGTTATTCATTTCTTAGTCAGTTGTATTCTCTTCCATTGTGTTACCCTATTGCTCCTTCACTGTTTAGTCCATCCTAACTACAGTCGTTCGCATGGATTGTGAATGTCTTAGACGGCTTGTACTAGAACAGCAAGAGCATGGACTCAGCCTCATGGTATTTTACTGCAGTTGGATGGTATTTCTGCTAAAACTCTGGGGGAGCTTGGGGCTTGGGAACTGAATCAGGATGTCTGGTTTTATTATGTGGGTCTGGGATTTTAAAGTTCTGGTGACTGACTGAACAGACAAGGAGACATTTTGAGCACAAGCGCTAGCACAGGCTTGGGGTGATGATACCGAGGGCCTGTTAGAGACGAGAGATGCCTTCATGTGATTCCTGTCTCATAACAGTTCCCAGTTTTTCCCCTGTATCATGGCACTGTAGGAAAACTGTTATCATTTTTTCCAAACTTGGTATTTCTATAGGTGCAGATGCCCCTGACACAGGTGCAGACCCTCCTGTCAGTGTGAATGGCATCTGCGTGGATATTCCTGCCCGACTGCATATACGCATCCTCATCTCAGATGCTGGTGCAGTGGAAGGGATTACTCAGCAGGAGATAGTTGGCATAGAGACAAGGTATGATTGCATCTGGGGTAAGTGTAGTTTAGAGAGAGTCAGTAAAGTTGCTGGTGCTCCAAAGAATAGGGAAATGCTAATGTGCAATCTGATTATTTATGAATTGCAGTTATTAGCAACATGATTATGTGTATAAATGAAATATGTTATCAACTATGTGTATAATGGTAACTTGTTCTCACAGGTGTTTATAAAGCTGTGTGTAAGGGATTCTGCACGGACTCTTGGGGTACAAAGATGAAATCCGGGGGGGGAATATAATAATCCATGCATACTGAGTAGGGAATACTGTGGGGAGGCGTTTCCCCAAGGGGAGGCTGGGGTGCAGTTGCCAGAAAAAGGGGATGGGGTGCTGGATAGGCAGAAACAACAGATGTTAACCACCAAACAGCTGGTAGCCCTCTTCTGAGAGTGATGTGGTGTGTGCGTACATGATGCATATAGAGCGCCTTTGTACTCTGTCCAGCACCTGGAAAACCCTCCAAGATGGCTAGCTGTTGCTGTTCTTCTTGTTATATTGTTCATTTTTGTAGCAGGGTGACCGGCCTGTGAGGTTCCCCATGCTACTCTCCCTCCTTGTGCATATGTCCAAAGGGGGAAAAAGCATTAGTAGAATTTGAAGCTTCTTTAAGAGAATCCCAGTTTATATTGCTGCTGTTGGTTCCCTCAGGCTCTTAACAGACTAGAAACGATTGGTGGATGTGTTACCTGCATAATCTTTTCCTCCCAGGTTCTCTACGGTGAACTGGCAATTCCAGTGTGGGCTTACTTGTGAGGATAAGGCCGACCTTTTTCCTGTCAGTGCATCTGTCCAGTTTATTAAGATACCTGCACGGTTACCCCGTCCACTGACAAGGTAATCCAGTTGACAACCTAGTTACCATTATTAGGAAGCAGAAAAACAGTTGCTTGAAAAGAAGAAGTTTATTTCTTTAATCAAGTTTGACACATTTCATCAAGAGCGTGCTTTGTTGTGCCTATTATAATCTTCTAAAATGTTTCCTAGATTCCAGATCAATTTTACGGAGTATGACTGTAACAGAAATGAGGTGTGTTGGCCGCAACTTCTGTATCCATTGACCCGGTATTATCAAGGTGGGTAAAGCAGATTTCTGGAAGGGTTATCATTATGTTTTGCCTATTAAAGTATTTTTTAAAAATATATGTCACAGAAAACTTAAAACACATAGAAAGAGTTTTAAATGATTTACTAATAAGGTTGCCACTTAGGAGTGATCACTATTACTGTTTTGGTTTATTTCTACCTAATTGCCAAAATAGTTAAGAAATAAGAATTGTGCTTCATTTGGTTCATTTTCTTGCAGGTGAGGCTTATTCTCAGTGCGTGGCCAAGAGCTTACTGTTGGTATCCTTCTTGGTATTAGCTGCATTCCTCAGTAACCCCTGGACCAGAACACGCAAAGCTTGAAATTCATCTACCACCTGACTTCTCACAGACCACAGACTTTTGCTTCAGTGACTTGTCGTACTCCTGTGTGCCTGTCTGTAAAATTGTAATAAATGCAGTGCTTTATTTTTGTAAAATTTTTTTAATTAATTTTACTGTGAATTTAATTCACATATGTAACTATCCGGATGTGCAGAGCAGTTCAGAATAGACATTCTCATCGTTGGATGAGACTGAGCAAAATGCACAAGAGGGTCAACTGTGTAAATAAATGTTACTAGAAGCTTTCGTGTATCACAAGTTACTAAAGTCACAGGAGTTTTGGTCCACGTATGTTATTCTTATCTTAGAAAGTTAGTATTTTCTTCAAATTATGTATTTCCGATGAATTGTTTGGTTAATTTCCTCTATTTCAAAGAAAGAATTAGTAATTCTTAAAGCCTTAAAAACGTGTATGCTATAAAGTTTATGTATTATTTTGTATATATACACAAAATAAATTGATGAGGGAAGGTGTGGAGGCGAGGGAGGGCAAGTATATGGGGAGGAGAGAGAGTAAAACAAGACCAGGAGGGGAAGCCAGCACAAGTATGATTACGTACAGGAATCAGAGACCCCGGATTTAAAATAAGCCGATTTTCGGTGAAGGATAGTTTTTCCTAGTTGAGGCTTGAGAGATTTTCCTCCTGTGGCTCCTTACGAGGGGACACATGGCATGATGCGGGGGGGGGGGGGGGTGGGGGATGGATGTCTTCAACCATAGCCCAATCTTGGCCACATGGCAAATCTCTGCATTTTCTCTGTGGCCCAGACATATTTAGTCATGTTTCAGATGGATTTGGACACGGTCAGTAAACCTAATTTTGAGAAGTGACCATCTTCCCTTTCACACTCTGATGGAATTCCTGGGGCCTCCTGACTTCCCGGACACAACCAATGTGTTGTTGCATTTTCCAGTGCAAATCTGTAAGCCCAGTTCCATTTTTTACTTGTTCATATTAAGCGTGTAACTAACGACATAAAGAAGTTTCTCCCTCAATTACCTCTATAGGTACTGCATTGAGAAATACTGGATTCCTCCCCTTCTGTTTCTCTTTTTCTTTGATTTGGATCTCTATGGTCCAAGTGATTACACCCTATAGAAGGAGTAAAACAATTGTCCTTTGTCAAAGAAAAGGAAATACCCACTGATCAATTAATTGTAGTAATTCGGAAAGTCTTTCTAGGGCAGTTAATATAACTAGCTCTGGAAAGTTAATTTAAAATTTTCAAATGACAGGAAATTGAGCCCGATTTTGTGGGCTTTGTTAGGATGACTTTTGTAGTTAAGAGGGGAAAAGCTCATTTTGGCAGAGGAATGGGATCTGAGGGACCTGCTATATGGTTTTAACTTTTCTAAGTTTATACATTGATGTATGCATTTGAGAACTATTTATTGAGTGGCTACTACATGCTGGGCCCTGGAGATACCAAGGCAATGTCCTTTGTCTAGCAGCGCTTACATTCTAGTGGGGGAAAATTGGCAATAAATAGAGACAAGATAATTTCAGACAGTGGTAGGTGTGATGAAGGAAATAAAACGGGGGTGGGGTGGGAGATTACCTTAACTAGGGGCCTGCGACGGCCTCAGAGGGCAGGGACATTTGAGCTGAGACTCCAAGGAGCCAGCTTTGAGAAGGTCTAGGAGAGGGGTGTTCTGGGCAGAGGGAGGAATCGCCAAGTTCAAGCACCCCGACCTGGGAAGATAAAGAAGGCAGGCGCGGCTGGAGCAAAGGGAGTCCAGGGCAGGCGATGGAGACGAGGGCTTCGGGGAAGGAGCGGGTCAGGGCCTGTGGGGTCCTGCTGGCCAAGGTAAGAAGTTTGGATTGTACTGGGAAAGCAGTGGGAGAAACCAGAAGATCTGAAGTGGGCTGCGTGAGATTTGCGTCCTGTGTCAGAGGTGACTGGAGCTGCCGTGTGGAGGATCTGCAGAGGCAAACGTGGCCAGCGGGGCGACAGTGCCGGCACCCGACCCCGCTGTCTGGTCTGCACGGGGGACAGGACCCGAGAGAAGGGCCCGCGGCAGGAGCCAGCCGCAAACACACGATTTGGTGTAATGCCGTCGGTGTGAAACGTCCTGAATAGGCAGATCTGCGAGACGAGGTTGTTCGAGGTTGCCCGGAGCTGGGGACTGACGGCGCTGAGCAAGTGGAATCCTTTTCGGGTTGACGGAAATATTCTAAAAGTGGATCGTGATGATGGTTGCACAACCACTCTGTAACTTTACTAAAAACCACAGAATTGTATACCCTAAACTGGTGAACTTTATGGCACAAACTCAATAAAATTCATTTTCAAAACGTCTAAAGAGCTGAGCGAGCATCAGTCTTCCGCCGGAGCCTCAGCCATCGGCCGCCGGGTTTGTGCGGGTTGGCCCCGCCGGCGCCGCCGCCGCCGCCGCCGGCCGCAACTCCGGGCGCCCATTGGTCGGCCGGCGCGGAGGGGGGCGGGCACACCCGGGGGGCGGAACCGGAACCGGCTGTAGCGGGGGGCGGGGTTTCGCGCGCGCCGTGGCTGCAGCGGCCGGAGCGGGGCCGCGGTGGCGGGACCGGGGGCGGCCGCTGCATCCCGGAGCCCCATGGTGCGCGGCGGCGGCCAGGCCGCAGGAGGAGCCCGAGGCCCCGGCCGCCCCGGCTGACCGCGCGGACCCGAGCGGCCCGGAGCCGCCGCCGCCTGTCCGGCCCCGCCGGGGCGCGGGCTGGCCCGCCATGGGGTCCCTGTTCCGGAGCGAGACCATGTGCCTGGCGCAGCTGTTCCTGCAGTCCGGCACGGCCTACGAGTGCCTCAGCGCCCTGGGCGAGAAGGGCCTGGTCCAGTTCCGAGACGTGAGTGTCGCCCAGGAGACGCGGGCCGCACCTGCCCGCCCAGCGCCGCAGCCCGCCTTTCGCTTTCTCTCGGGCCTCCCTTCCGCGGGCTCCTGGGCAGCGGCGCGCCGCTGTCCCCATTTCACGGGCAGGGAAGCTGGGGCCCGGCTTACTGGCCAGAGCTTCCGCAGAGCGGGGCCCGAGCCCCGGGTCGCCGGGCGTCTGGTCGGCGGCGGCTTTGGCCGGGTTAGTTAGGAACGCTCTGGGTAGTCTTCATCAACTTAGGGGAGTGCCATCAGATGCTCCGGAGCGCCGACTCTGTGCCAGGCCCTGGGCTGGCCGGGGGAAGAACGAATCTCATGAGGCCTTTTGGAGACCTTTTGGAACTAATGGGGGTGGCGGGGACAAATACCAAGCAAGTAAACACGTAAACATAATGTTTGCTGTGAGGGTAATGAAACGGGGATGATGGGATGGTGACTCGAAGTCGGGATGGTCAAGGAGGGCCCCAATGAGGAGGTGACGTTTGAGCCAAGATGAGGCCTGAATGGAAAGAGCTGGCCCTGGAAGATCTGGGGGGACAGGGTCCCGGATGGAGGGAACAGAAGGAGCCCAGAACCTGAATTGGGAATGAACTGGGTGTAAGCGCCTTGAGGGGAAGGGGTTTTCCTTGGTTTTGTTCACTGATGTGTGATGTGCATACCACTGCCTACTAAGGAGTGGGAACTGTCTTCCCAACAAGTAATGATAAACACTTGTTTATGTATCTGTTTACTTTTTTATTATTTGTTTACACCATGGACTGTCAACCTCCAGGGCCAGGGGCCTCTCCTGACTTGTTCACTCCTGATTCCCCAAGACTTAGCACAGTCCCTGGCATTTGTGGGCATTAGTAGGCAGCATTTGCTGAATGAAGGAGCAAGCCTTTATTGAGTGCTTGCTCTGTTCCAGATAGTGTTTTTCATGCTGGTGTCTCAGTGGTAAGCAAGGTGGACAAGGTCCTTATGTTCTTGCTGCTTACAGCCTGGGAGGAGACAGATAAACAGGCTTTGTGAACTGGAATTGTGAAGTGCTGTGAAGGGAAAGAACAAAGTGTGGAAGGGGAGTAGTAAGCAGGATCTAATACTGAGTGATTGAACTGAAAGTCACTTCAGGGGAACATTTTATTTCCTCCTGGGCCCCAACTTTGATCTCCTGGTTGTTTCCCTTCATCTCTCTGAGGGGCCCTCAATTTCAAAAGGGAACACCCCTACTCGAGATCTGATATCAGTGACCCTTGGGTCGACTCCAAAGGCATTGCAAGGTCAGGGAGAAACTCCTGAGTGACAGCCGAGGCCGCAGGGAAGGCCGGGCTCTCTTCCTGTTTTCTGGAGTCACTTGGGCTTCAGCTTCTGTTCCCACTTACCTGGTAGGTGCTGTGATCAGCTGTGGGGAGCACCCGAAAGATGCAGGAAACAGGAGAGAAATAGGCTCCCTTATTTGTAACTGGTAGTTTGGTTCCATCCTGGTAGTACTCCAGCTGAGGGACTTAACAAGCTTAAACCGCGGAGGTTTGAACAAAGGCCTTAGTCACCACAAAGATTCGCATTTCACTGAATGCCATTACCTGAGGTAGTAGACTATACTTGGGATCCTTCAAGACTGAAAACCAGTGAAAGAAAAAGTGCAGATAAAGATCTCACCTCTGCGTGTGTGTGTGTGTGTGTGTGTGTGTGTGTGTGTGTGTGTGGTTTGTGGTTTGGGTTGACACTCAGGTAGCATGGGTGCTAGTGCAGAAAGCCCCGTAGCATCTGACACTTTTTTCTGCTCTTTAATGGAGTTCCTCACTGAGTTTGCATTCACTGGCTGGGCTTACAAACATTAGTCTTTTATGGCTTGCATAGGCTGGATGATTTTTCCCTTTTAGTACTCCTCCCGAGGGAAAGCAGGCAGGCCCAGGGTTTCTGTAGTGACAGCCAAGTAGAGAGAAGGGCCAGTTCACCTCACTGTTGCGCGATGGTCTGCAGTCTAAGAACAGTTTCTCCGTTAGCCCCTCAGCGGCTAGAGTGGGAAGTTGGCTGGTGTGGGTATCAGTAAAACCAGCACCACATAGCCTCTGCTGGCTTTTCTAGGTTCAGGGTTAGTCTTAAAATGAGTCTACAGTAAAATGCAGTGTGGTCCCCCAGTATCTGCGGGTATGCATTCCAAGACCCCCAGTGGATGCCCAACACCCCGGAGAGTACTGAACCCTGTGGCTATGACGGGTTTTCCTGTACGTGCATACCTGTGGTAGAGTGTAATTTACAAGTCAGGCA